GCGACAACCTGGCAGTAAACACCCAAATATTAAGCAGCGTCCAAGCCATGCTACCCGTTTACCAACGCCTACGTGTCAAGAGGAACCGGCACTCCTGTATCAGCTGAAACGGGGGGTAAACTTGAGAAACTGAGTCACAAAAAATCCTGAAAAATAGAGAGGAATAAAAGCCCAGTCCCAAACTCACAGCGTTTTCAGTCCCATTTCCTCTACTCTCTTCAACTACCTTTCTATCCGAGCAGAAAAGAGGAGTCCTTTGAAGAACGAGACTTTAGACACCGCTCCCAGAGCGGCACAGGGTTTGTTTTTTATGTGACAGAAGTATTCCCCTTCCTTTCCAGCCGCCTGCACGGCGATCCAGCGCACTGCCAGCCCCGAGTGAAACCCAAGTCTCCCGCCTGGCAGGGTGGAGCATTCCCTCCGGGCTGCAGCTCCGCTCCGTTTTTCGCTAAACTACCGCAACTCACTCGAAGTTTTGGGGCGTTTATTTTGTGAAGACAAAAGGAAGAGAAGCGGCCGGACCCACGGCGGGGGCCGGGGCCAGGCGCGATAGCGGCACTCGAGATGTTTACCGCGACTTCGAGCCCCGGAGCCACGCGGGCGGCGCGGTGCCCTTCCCTTCCCTTCCCTCCCCGCCTCTCGCCCCTGCACCTCCCTAGGCCGCTTCTCGCTCTCCAGCGCGGCATCCCCGACCCCCGCCCCGCAGGGGGAGCGCGCCCGCCGCGACCCCCGGAGAGAAGGAGGGAGGGCAGGAGGGAGGGCAGGAGCGAGCCCGAGCCGGAGCCGCCGCCGCGGCGCCGCCGCTCAGCCCCCGCGCGGTCCCCGCGGCGCCGCTCCGCTCCGCGCCGTGCCCTGCCCGGCCGCCGGGCGCAAGGTCACCGCTCCGGCTGCCGGCCAGGGACCGGCCGCGGCTGGAAAGCCCCTACCTGGCAGCGCCGCCGCCACTATGGCGGGCCGCGCCGGGCCACGCCGCCGCTCGGCACTTCCCACCTCCCGCCGCCGGCGGAGCTGCGGCCGCCTCCCGCCTCCTCCTCCCCGGGTCCCGGCGGCGGCCCCCGGGCCCCGCTTACCGCGGCTCGGCGAGAGGCGGCGGCCGCCGACGGGGAGCTGTGCCCGCGCCGCTCCCGCCGCTGCTGCTGCTGCCGCTGCCGCCGCGGCTGCAACAAAGGACTTCCGCCCCGCCGCGCTGCCGCTGCCGCAGCGCCGGCTCCGCCGCGACCGCACGGAGCCGGACCCCTCCCCTCGGCGGCCGCGGCTCCCGGCGCCGCCGCTGCCAGCGCTGCTGCGCCGCCGCCAATGCCGGGGCCCGGCGGGCGGCTCCCTGCCGCGCTCCGCTCTCCTCCCATGCCGCCGGGGACGCGGCGCGGCGCGGGCTGGCGCTGCCGGGGCCCCCTCGGCCCGGCTCCTCCCCGTCCTCCGGCGGAGCCCCCCGGAGCCGCGGCGGGGCAGCGCCCACCGGGACCCCTCGCTGCTCTCCCGGGCCCCGCAGCCCGCCCCTTCCCCGCGCACCCGGGCTCGCCGCAGGGAACGGGCAGTCTCTGCTCTCCCCCCGAAGCGGCCGTGGCGGTGCTAACGGGGAGGCTCCGGTCACCCTGTGGGTGTCCGGCGATGGAGCGTTGTACCGCAGCCCCACGGCCCCCGCGTGGGACAGTGCAACTGCGAAAAACCACTGCGAGCTGCGTGAGCGAGTATTTCCTTCTCGCAGCAATTTCACACGTTAATACCTCCGCCCTCCCTCCTGGAGCTTCACGGCGATGCAGGAGCACAGGGCTGGCAGCCACCGCCACGCTCTGTCACAGATCCCGAGAACAGCGCTTTTTCTCATCCTTCCAGGAGCTGTTCCAGGCCCTCTTCCCACCAGTGTCGGGACCTCTCCTGTGCGACAACACCCAGCTTCTCCGGAACTATCCCATGTGAGTAAGTGGGATTTCCGGCCCCTCTGCCATCTGCCGCAGATCTGAGAGAAAACATAAGCCAGGTCAGGCTTTCCTCCAGGTCTTACCACTTGACTTTTCCACCCTCAAAGTGACATTTGTCCTTCAGCACAAGCATTGTAAGTGCTTAATCCGCAAAGCTCCATCATTCAGTTTCTGGAGATACCATTGTTTTTATGTTGCTGCAACTGAGATCCCTCTAAGTATCTGACAAGCCAAAGGGGCAAACTTAATCATAGCAAAACTAAGAGATTTTATTACAATTTGAAATGGCAAAAGTAACAAAAAAGGCAACAAAATAAAATGCCACAATGTTAAAATGTACCAGCATCCTGAAGGTTTTCCTGAGGAATCCCTCCTCTGTGTAAGCAAACAGGACAAACCCAACTCACACAATCCTAGTTTCCAAGTGCCCTTCCTCCTGGGTCTGTCTGGGGATTTTCTAACCGCTACAGAATAAAATCAGAGCTTTCAAAATATGCCTTTCAGAATGTGTCTAAAAAATCCCCGTTTCCCCTCTCATTCTGCTTCAGCCTTGCCTCAGGGATCTGTAGCAGTCCAAGGGAAAAAAACCTCTGGCACAGGAGGTGGAGGGACCCCCACATTACAGCTGCTTTGTAGGTTTTCCTGTTTTATAGGAAGTTAAGTAAACGGCCTCCACAAACCAATAGAGTCATGGTTTTCAAATCACACTGAAAAGTTGCTTTTCTTATGGTTCAAGAGTCTTTTTCTGCCCACTCTCTACACACCCCAGGGCAGCACAAGCCAAGAGCACCCATGAGGGGCTTGTGCAGCCTCTTGCTCTGTCCCATGTGTGTCACCCCACAGCTCCTGCCACCTCCGGTGAGGTGGGGCCCAAGGCAGTCCCCCTTCCTCACCACCCCGTTCTCTTACTGCCTTCCCACCACACTTACATTTACAATTTACTTTTTTAATTATTATTTTCTGACCACAGAGGAGGGAGTAGAAACACACATGGAGAGAGCTGTGATTATGTGCTGATGTCTTTCTGACCCACCAGCATAGGCTGTGTCACTTTCTACTAGCTGTGAGTGATATCATTGTCTGTGTTTTACAGCAAAACACCAAATTCAATCCTCACCACCGCTTTCATCAGTTTGGCTCTGGTTTCTCTGAAGCTCTTCAAAGTCCTCTTTGGACCAGAGTCAACCTAAATAACATGTAAATAATTAATCATTTAAATAAATAACATGCCATCTGCAAATAGCAACTCGCTCCATACACAGGTTAATAAATATGTTAAATAACCCAAAACAGAGTACAAAACCTTGAGCCACCTACTGCCAACCTCTTTTGGGGAGGAAAAGTGGGTACTAATATTTATAGGAGCAGCAGGATTATAGCTCCATAATATCTCAATACTGCTGCTGTGCAAACACAGGAGGGAAAGATGGTCCCTGAGTCCTGTGAGTTTTATATTAAAAAAAAATAAATAAGGCAATGGAATAGACAAAGCTGTGCTGGTCAGTGGGATAAGCAGCAAACACATGGATGAAAATTCTTTGGAACCTATGGTCTGTCATCTCTCAGCCCAACTTCATCACCCACCCAGGCTCAGGCTGCCTGGAAACAGCCCCATAAGCTGATGCATTCTGGTGGCCAGGGGCATTATTTGCCTTTAATATTCAAGAATTGCATTTATGGGGATGCAAAAGGAAAATGGACTACAAACTATCAAATGCTGAGAGGAAACCAAGAGGGATGATCCGAGGCACTGAGTATCTTCTGCAGAGGCCCTGAGTCAGCAGAGATGCTATGGAGGAGGTGGGTGTGATAGATCTTAGAAACTGCACCAAAATCATGACAAAGGTGCACAAATAGTGATTTTCACTGCCTTTTCCAGCTGGAAAAACAACGTGTGAGCATCAAATTAACCCGGTGGCAGCAGGACACTGTATGGACTGGACGTTTGAACAGGTTCAGAACGCAATTTGGTAACACTCATCGGAAAGACACCTCGGAGTGGTACTGAGTGCCGGAGCGGAGGATGGGGAGCGCAGGGGTCGCGATGGCGCTCCGGGAGAAGCCCATCCCTGCCCATCCCTGTCCATCCCTGCCCGGGAGGGGCTGCTGGTGGCCGGGCAATCGCGGTCAAGGGTGGGAGTGCCGCCTGTGCCTCCTCCTCTGCCTGGCACCGGACCCGGCACAGCTGCTCTCGTCTAAAATAACCCCTGGTTGAACATCAGGGAGCGACCGGAGGAGGAGGAGGAGGAGGAGGCCTGACAGGGAAACGCTGCGTCCTCGGGACTCGCGGTGCTTAAAGCAGCGCAGAGGCCGCAGACATTGGCGAGGAAGCCAGATCGTATCTTCTCATCCATTCCCGGCCACACCGGGGAAGCGCTTTTACTTTTTTTTTTTTTTTTCCCCCTGTAAAAAACAAAACAAAAACCCCAAAACCAAACAAAACACCAACCCAAACCATCAAACACCCCCCAACAAGCACGCACTTTCTGCCGAGAGCGGAGGCGCTCAAGGCGATCAAGAAGCCGAGCTCCCCGCCCAGGCTGGTGCCTTTGGCAGCCCACGGGAAAACACGCACCCTCCCAAAAATCCCCCACGGGGCTGCACCCGCTCCTTCCCTCCCTCGCTCCGGAGCTGCGGGCGAGCAGAGCAGCGCGGGCAGTGCCGCCCGCAGCCGCGCAGGGGCCGCGCAGGGGCCGCGCAGGGGCCGCGCTCGCGTTTCCCGGGAGAATCCCATCCCTGCCCATCCCTGCCCGGCCCGGCGGGGCCCGGCCCGCCCGGCAGGAAGCGCGGGGGGGCAGCGCCCACCCCATCCGCCGGGCGGGCAGCGGGGGCGGGCGGTGGCGGCGCTTCCGCGGGTAAGCGGCTGCGCGGGCGCGGGGGAGCGGCGGGGCCGGGAGGGAAGGAGGGCGCTGGGCCCGCGCCACGGGCGCGCTGCGCTCGCCGCTCCCGATGCGCGCCGTGTTTCTCTCTCTAACCCCCCCCCCCACCCCTCAATAATTTTCTGCGGAAACAATAGCAAATATCGGCGTTTATTTGCGCAGGGGCCGCTGGCGGGGCGGGGCGGGGCGAGGGCGGCTCGGCCCGCACAATGGGGGCTTTGTTGGGCGCACAGGGCTCCTCTGTGCCGCGGCCGCCGCGCTCAGCCCCGCTCCCCCGCGCCTCCGCCGCGGCTCCGGGGCGGCAGAAAGCGCCGTCAGCTCGCGGGGAAAACGCCAGCCAGGGTTAAAGTTAGTGCTGACACCCCGCAGAGCGTGGGTAATCAGCGGGAGAAGCGTCTCTGAGTGTGGCTGGCAGATGGGAAAGTCCCCGAGAGGTCTTGAGCACCCGCGGTGGTATCGGAAGGAGAAACTGTTAAATTGGGGTGCAGGGAGTATCTGGAGGAGGGAAGAGGCTCCATGCCAGGCGTCCATCTCGTTTCGGTGGTGAGAAGTCAACATTTGAGCCTTTGGGAGCTCTCCGATTTCTTAATGAGATGAACATCTTGTTCCCTTGCTCCCAGCACACCATGGATACCACCGGCCACAGCGTCCTCCTCCTCCAGCAGCTGAACATGCAGCGGGAGTTTGGCTTTCTGTGTGACTGCACAGTTGCCATTGGAGATGTTTACTTCAAAGCCCACAGAGCGGTGCTCGCTGCTTTTTCAAACTATTTTAAGATGATATTTATTCATCAGACGAGGTAAGAACACACAGCTCTCCTCCTATCCTTTTACCGTCCTCAGCATTCTGCTTTTTCTTCTTTCTAAAGGTATGAAAGTATAAAAGAGTATAAATGGGGACGTTAGGTGGCCTGAGATTATTTTCCTAACCCAGCACAGGCCTTGGCTCTCTAAACAATCCCAGACCAGAAAGCACTGCCCTTTAAAACCACTTTCTTAGTCAGCATATGGCAACATCAGACCCTGCATTTTGGAGATGAGGCATTTGTGTGACCAGATAAATAAAGCATATAAGTACCACCGTGTTCCTGCAGTGAGAGCCTTGCAGATTTGGAACCCAGGGATATCCTGGTACCTCCTGCCCGTGTGAAATATGTCCAGTACTTAGCCTTAGGTTGTAGTCAAGCTTGCTGGGTGAGACTGTCATTTCTGGCAGGATCCACAGGCTTGAAACAATCAAGAAGCTGTGGCCTTATCACAGTTCTGTGCTTCAGACTCCTGGAGATAAGGGCTGAGACTGAGATCATCAATTCATTTCAAGCTGTTGTTCACATGCTTCACCTGGCCAGGTCAGGAGTGGTTCTGCAGGTATACCAAGAGCAGTGCCAAGGTCTGGCCTCTGACCTGGGGCTGGCTGTTTGTGATGGATTAAATGTTCTTCATTCCCCTTCCTTTCTGAGGGTCGTGGCCTCCAGCACCTCTGCAAGATAATCTTTAGGATCAGCTGCATCGCCCCTTGGAAGTGAGATGAGTTAACTGCCCTTCCCTGAGGATGTTGTTTGCTGACACTTAAGTGCAATACTCATAAAGATTAGACAGTACTGGCAGCTGAACTCGTTACTCAGATGGATGGAGTGGCACACACTGGTGATGCACAGCGTGCATGGCATCGCTGCGGTGCCGTGTGGCTGCAGCTGGCTCTGCATGGGAGGGACGGGGTGCCCAGGGCTGGTCACCAGCACCAGCCTCAGCTGCAGTTGTGCACGTGGCCTTCGGAATCACAGGGATAAACGCAGACTCAGGCACTTGGCTTTGCAAACAAAGCTTCTGCACTTCTGCAGGGCTTGGCAGGGAGTGCTGCTTGTAAAAGCGCTCTCACAGCAAATGGGCAGGTAATGGATCGGGATTTGGATCCCTGTATGTACTTAATCATCTGTTTTGTTTCAGTGAGTGCATAAAAATTCAGCCTACAGACATCCAGCCTGACATATTTAGTTACTTGTTACATATCATGTACACTGGGAAAGGGCCAAAGCAGACTGTCAGCCAGAGCCGGCTGGAGGAGGGCATCCGCTTTCTGCACGCAGACCACCTGTCCCACATCGCCATCGAGATGAACCAGGCCTTCTCCCCGGAGCCCGTCCAGTCCTCCAACCTGTATGGGATCCAGATCTCCACGGCGCACAAGCTGGCCAAGGAGCGCCTGGGAGCGAAGGAGAGCCTGCCCAAGGCGGGCAGGTCTGCGGCGCAGGGCGATCCCCCCCAGCTGCAGCTGTCCCTGGCCATCGGCCTGGACGAGAGCCCCCTGGACCAGCAGCCCGCCCGCGCCCCGGCCCAGCCCGCGGCTCTGGCCAAGCCGCCCGAGGAGCGCCCGAAGCTCTCGGTTTCCATAAAGCAGGAGCGGTGCGACTCGGAGCCCGTGGTGTCCCAGAGCTGCACCCCTCCTTCCCCGGGCGTGGCCAGCCCCATCCTGGCCAAGGGCGGCCTCAAGGCGCACCTGTGCCACTACTGCGGGGAGCGCTTCGACTCGCGCGACGGGCTGCGGCAGCACCTGCACACCCACGTCTCGGGCTCGCTGCCCTTCGGCGTGCCGGCCTCCATCCTGGAGAGCGGCGACCTGGGCGAGGTGCAGCCCCTGGCCGAGGACAGGGAGCCCGGGGACGGCCATCGCCTCGGCGCCTTCCTCCTGAAGGAGGACGAGCATCAGCTGGAGCATCCGAGCTGCAGCGAGCTGGAGCCTCTGCAGATCGGGCAGCTCTCCCTCATCTCCAAGGACCACGAGCCGGTGGAGTTGAACTGTAACTTTTCTTTCTCGAGAAAGAGAAAGGTCAGCTGCACCGTGTGCGGCCGCGCGTTTTTCCGGAAGAGCCAGCTGCTGGAGCACATGTACACGCACCGAGGGAAGCAGCACAAGTACGGCCGCTGCCAGCGGCTGGAGAGCCCCAGCACCCCCAGGTTTCACCCCTACTGTGACAGTGAGAGTGTGGGGAAGAGCTCCAGCTTGTCCCAGGAGCACTTGGATGAATGCATCCTGGAGTCAGATCTCATCCAAGAAAGCGTCGATACGATCCTGGTAGAGTAATTCTCCCCCTTCAGATCTGAAACTGGATGTTTTGGCATTCTCCACCTAGGGAGTGGCTGCTCTGTGCAGCTGATTTTCTTGAGCCACCATTCCCCTCACTGCTGAGATAACTGTGAAGGACTGTGTACTTTGACTTGTGTACTTGCTTTTTTTACTTCTCTAACTTTTAAACTCGAGTTAATTCCCATCTAAGTCCTTGGAAGCCTCCGTGTAACTCAGTTATGCTTTTCCTGAATGTGAACTTATTCCTACTCTGCTTTACTGGAGTAAAGGCTGTATTGCTGGGTGTGAGGTTTAAACATTGTCTAGTACTCTGTGTGGTGCCTAGGACTGTTTGTATCCCATAGAATTGCTCTTCTGAAACCAGATGGATGGAAGTGTAGAGGGAAATATTTACTGTGTTTCCCAAACAGTTTGTTTTTAATGAAAATAAATATCTCAAGGAGATGAATCCTGAAGTTCATGTTGTTCATGTAACTGCAGTTAATAAATCTCTGCATAAATATTTGCAGGAGCCATAAGGCTGCTCTTTTCAAGGGAATTGGCAGTGTTGATGTAGGGGTGGCAACCTTCATTTTGACAAGCCCTGGAGTCCTCATCTGTCTTCTAAATTTACTTTTAAACTCTAGGGATTTGCATGTGTTTTTCCTCCTTCCTACTCCTCCCTCATTCACCACTACTGCATAAGCAAGGACAGATTTTGATGCTCCTCTAGGACCGTGTTTCATTTTTGGACTGTCTTCTCTGCAGGGAGGAAGGAAAGCTGCAAAGGAGTGTTCTTCCTTGAGAGGAGACATACCCTGGCTTAAATCTTTACAGGATTAAATGCCACACACGTATTTTCTGAGGGAAAATGATTTCTGACTATAAACAGCTTGGAGTAAACACATTTTTAAATATTACAATCTGTATATTTGCTCAGAGCAAATACAGAGCGTGTTATTTTTTTCTCTGTTTGCAGAGCCAGTGTTAGATGGTAACATGCAAGTTTTTTTGCCTTTCATATAATCACAGAATGGTTTGGGCTGGAAGGGACATTAAAAATTACTTAGTTGCAGCCCCCCTACCATAGGCAGGGACACCATCCATTAGATTGCTCAAAGCCCCGTCCAGCTTTTCATTTATCATTACTTGTTATCTGAAGGGTAATATCCAATAAAATTATACACATGCCTCTTGAATTCAGAGTTTGTCCCTTTCTAGTTTTCATCCCAGGCTGCAGCCCACCCCTCGGAGATGCTGTTACTCAGAAGGCCCCAGGGGACACACCAAGTTCTTAGAGAGCAGAGGTCTCTCCTGCAGCTCAGAGCAAAAGCCTCGTGAGCTGCTCCCGTAATCTCCTTACCCAGATTTTGAGAAGCCGGAGGCTTCCTGCCAGTCCTGGTGGAGCCTTTGGAAAGGGGGAGCCTGAGCAATGGTGTGAGAACAGTTTGCTGTCAGAATGCCTGCTCCAAAGCTCTTTGTAGTCGGGGCTCTTGAGCTGTCTTTGGTATTGTCCTGGAGCAAGAGCTGCAATTAAATCACTGCTGAATTAAAAGACCATCTGAGGTCTTTGTAAGGGCGATTGTTGCTTCTGGGCAGGGAACTGCTCACTCCAGGGGCAGGATTGGCCACTGAGAGCTGCCAAATTGTGTTTCCAGACAAAGGGGCAAAACACCCAGTCCCCGAGCCTGCCGAGAAGATGTTGCAAAATGCAGGCTGTGGTTTGGAGTGTGCTTCCCTGCAAGCCCCAGTGCTCCTTCTGCTGCTTGTACCCATTGGAGCTGCTCTGGTGTGAACACATTTGAACCCTGCTTAAAAAGCCCTTCTTTGGAGCAAGCAAACAAACAGAACCCAGCCGACACCCAGGCCTGTGAATGCTGCATCTGAGCACGGAGCCATTCACACAGCGCATTTCCTAGAAGGGAAATGCTTCTGCTTCTCTCCCAGCCTAATAGCATCAGCTAAATCACATCCAGCACAGGCTGCTCATAACTGGGCAAATGCCCTCCGGCTTCCACTGACCTCTATTTCTACATGATGAGTAAAAAAAAGGGGAAAAAAAGAGGTATTTTATGGTCATTCCTTATTTGTATGTGACACTTTACTGAGTGGGCTGGCTTCTCTGGGTGCTGCTTGCTTCCCTCGGCTTCCTGCATTTAATTTAAGAACACAGAGAAGCTTTTGCTGGGGTGGCTGGCGCTGTAGAAATGAGCTGTAGAGGGACTGAATATCAGCTATTCAGTCAGTAGGTGAGCACCTCGGATTGTCAAATAGGTGCCTAACTTGCCTGAAGTAATTGGTATTGAAAGCCAAAGGGCTCTGGATGTCTCTGCAGAGGTAACAGGGTGGTGGCAATAGAGATCAGTGCTGGGGACAGCAGCAGGGACAGCAAGCAGCAGTGCCCGAGGCATCTCTGGGACACGCTGCTCCTCCTCAGGTGCGTGGGCTGGACGGTTTTGTTCTGTTCTTGCCCATTAAAAAGGGAGCTTTTATAAAAGCTCTGATCTCGGGTGAAAGAGCCAAATGTCACTGAGCTGTGTGTGCTGTAGGAGGGACTCCATGGCACTGACTGCAAAGACACCAGCAGAGCTGAAATGAGACATAAACCAGGGCTGTGCTCCTGTGTATCCTTGAAGATACAGCTGTAGAGGATTGTTTTCTGTTATCCTCACACCCCCTTTTAAAGGTGTGCTTTGGTTAACCTTTGTGGGACTGAACATCTGTGACATCAAACGTCTGCCAAAGGCCTTTTTTTTTTTTGCATCATTTGCAATACAACAAATGCATTTTCAGCAGTTTCCTACTGCAAGTGTTAAAGCACTGTTATAATTAAAGCAGCAGGAAAAGCTGGAGACAGAAATCATCAGCTCCAAGTTATGTTAACATAAAAACATAATTCTCTCCAAGTCTTATGAATAGAAAATAATTTTACAGGGCAGTTACATTTGCTAAGCAAGGGCAGCAGCTGCTCCTGGATAAATCATGAGAAGTTTTATTACTGTATGTGGAAGACACTTGAATTACTGAGTGCTTAACCTTTATGCCGGTGCATGCTTGGAAATCTGCCCAACTTGCACAGCTGGGTTTGACAAATACTCATGTCTTGTTGTGGTTTGATTTTTTTTTTAATAAAAACATAAAAAATTTTTGTCACAGTCTGCAGAATAATTATACTAGTGATTCCTTCCAGATATCTGTGATTGGTTAACAGATGCACATGGGCTCAGGCAAAGAAAGCCCTGGGGTGGGAATACTTCAAGGATGAAAGTCCCAAAGGTCCAGGGGATCCTTGGAGATTTGCCATGTGCTCTGGAGAAGTCCCATCATTAGAAGTACTGAGCTGATGAACCACAGTCATTGAGGTGCCTTCTCTTTGGGCTCTGCAGCTCCTATTTTATGTAAAGATGGGAAGACTGGGGCTCAGATCCCCCCTGCCAAAGCCCCTGAGCATAACCAGGCTTTGCAGCCAGCTCAAGTGAACCTCTGCAATGCCACAAAGTGCATTCAAGGCTGTCATCATGTATCTGGGTGCTGGCCCCAAAATGCTGACTGTACCTTGGCTGGCTCAACCACCAGAGCACGAGAAACAATTTCAAGATAGGTAATTTGAAATATTTTGAGTGCTCTGATGCTGCTGGATCCAACAGGGTCTGTGATTCTCAGGCTTCTTAAGATGCATTAAAATGTGTGGACAAAAGTGTATTTATCTCCCCTTGCAGTGTGGGGTCTGGAGAATGTTGCTTTTTTGCTCACTGAGAAGATTGAACAGGGAAATGAAATTTCCTGTTGGGATGTAAACCTGAAGCAGTGAGCATTACAGTTAAAAATAAGGCCATGAAATGCTGCTATCATGACATTTCATTTCTTCAGTGTAATGCTGATACTGAATAGTTTTCTGGTATTTTGGAGGCAGAAAGTATTTATCCTGTGTAAGTGAAGCCTTCAGAACTGCAGTGAAAAGTGACCTCAGCATATGCAATTCAGCATCATTGAAGGGGACCATGGGCTATCAGTGGCCAAACTTCATGGCTTATGGAAAGCCTCCCACAGCAATCAGCCAACAGGTAATGCCATACCTCTGCCATGATTAATGGCAGATTCCCTGTTTAATAAAACTTAGACTCTTCCCTTCTTGTCCAGGATTGCCAAAACGACTGCAACAGAGTGGGCTTCCCAGCAGTCCAGCACTAAGAAAATATATTCTGAGGAATAAGAAATCATGAGGGAAAAGGTAATGAGGATGGATATGTCCTAAATTACATGCTGGTTAAATATTTGCAACCAGAGCTGTGCCAGGACTGAGCTCCCTGAGATGCAATCGCGGCATCTACGGGATTTGCATGTTTCATTAAGAAAAAGTAATGACACAACTTCAAAAGCAACCTAGGAGAGGAAATGTTCTCCACCAGCTATTCTAAACCAGAGGCTGCACCCTCAGAACAAAGGCAGGGCAGAGCTCTCAGCCTTCTCTGGGTTTCACAGGGTGGAGGTGGCGCTGGGAAGCTTTGGGGGTTCCAGCTTTGGGGGTGCCTCGGGGGTACCTGCCGGGATGCACAGGGCAGTGCAGCAACGTTCAGTCCGTGTGAATCCTCCTGTCACTGGCACAAACGCTGTAGGGAAACGCTGTCTAAAGCCCTCTGTCCCTCCTGGCAATCCCCGGGATTTGCAACCCATTGGTTTTAGGACATAAAGCCACCTATAGGCGCCAGGGCAGGGCAACCAGGGCAGCGAGCCATGGAGGGTGATGGACGCAGGAGAAGAACGTCGTGGCAGGCAGGCAGTGGTGTCAGGCACCCAGACAGGATCCAGCGGTGGGCGTGAGCCTCGCCGAGCCCCAGCCCAAGCAGCGGCAGCGGCGGCCGATGCTCCGCGTCACTTGTGCCCGCAGCCATCCCTCCGGGAGGGCCCCGCTCCCGCAGCGCCGCCGGAGCCAGCAGGGCGGGCGGCCCGGCCCGTCATTAGGGCCGAGCATCCCCCCCCGGGCTGTTTGCCCCATTCGCTTACTCATCGCCTAATGGCCGGGCTGCGGGCGCGCCTTCCTGCCGTGCCTGTTGCTCTGGCCGCAGCCCGCTCCTTGCCCCACGCACGGCTGGGAGCTTCGAACCTCCCAGCGCCTCGGCCTCCCCGCCTTGCTCCAGCTGGGAAATGGAATGCAAATTGGGTTTCAGGCTGTCTGGGCTGCGCCTTGGTGCGGCGCAGTCTGCGAGCTTTGGCAGGCGGGGAGCGGCGGGGGCCGCCGGCGGCAGCGGGACCGGAGCCGCTCCCCCTTCCCGGGGATGCTCGGCAGGAGCCGCTCCCCCTGCTCTTCCCGGGGATGCTCCCCAGGAGCCGCAGCTCCCCCTGCCCTTCCCGGGGATGCTCCCCAGGGGCCGCAGCTCCCCCTGCCCTTCCCGGGGATGCTCCCCAGGGGCCGCAGCTCCCCCTGCCCTTCCCGGGGATGCTCCCCAGGAGCCGCAGCTCCCCCTGCCCTTCCCGGGGATGCTCCCCAGGAGCCGCTCCCCCTTCCCGGGGATGCTCCCCAGGAGCCGCAGCTCCCCCTGCCCTTCCCGCCCAGCTGCCATCTCAGCAGGTCCCGTCACGCCGAGCTGTCACCGCGCCGAGCCCTGACACGCCGCGGCCTCGAGTCTTCATTAAAATGGCAAATGGTGAGAGCAAACGGGACACGAGTGACGGGCGCTGGGGCGCAGGGATGACGTCCATCCCTCTCCAGATGGCAATCTCTCAGTGACAAAGCGGTGCTCGCTGTGTCCGTGCACCGGTAAGGAGCTGGCATGGGAAAGGCACCTCCCGAAAGGGACCCTGCTCGATAGGGGGGTGTCACCTCTTCCAGATCAAAGAGCTTTGGAAGGCAGATCAATGCGAGGTCTAACTTGAGGACTGACAGGGTGAATGCCAGCTCGAGCTGCAGATGATACTTTCATCTGAACAATCTGAATTGCAAAACATGTTTTCTTACTGTCTCCCTCCCTTTTGTATCCAGCCTGTTTGTCAGTTTTTATATAATGAAACCTACTTTAAAATGCTGGGTTTGGGTATTTTTGCTGAAATCCACTTTTTGGCTAAGTGGACTTTAACCCCACAGCAGAAAAATCCCATCATTTGGCACAGAACTGCACTCTTCACAATCCTCTGCAAAAAGAAAACCATGTGAAAGCTTTGCCTCCTAAAAAACTTTAACCTATATTGTATAAGAAATAACATCCTCTGATTAGGTGTTTTTTAAAGTCATATTTAATGTTAAAATTTTGTCCGTTTGCAAATGAAAAGTATTTCATTATTTTAGTACTACCCAACAAGAGCTGACAAGAACCATTTGTCTGGGAAATAAAACTGCAGAGGTAAAATCATATTAAAGCAATTATTTAAATCAATCTGTTTCCTTGGAGCAGCTCATTTTGAGTTACTCATGTTGAAAGGTTCTATCTATAACACAGGAAATATTAAGGCTTCACTGCCTGTACATGTGGGTCTGACTTCCATCCATCCATCCATCCATCGATCCATCCATCCATCCATCCATCCATCCATCCATCCATCCATCCCAAGTGCAAACCAGGATTCCCGTGTATTTTGTGAATTTACTCAATTTCTTACATACATTTGTGAAAAAAAAACCAAAACCAAACAACCCAAACTCCACAAAAACAACAACAAAACCCCCCACAACTGCATCTTCACTTTTATACATGTTGCATATGAGAATGTCCACGATTTAGGCAGGGATTGCACCTTGGATTCAAACACCAGGCTCCTGGCTGCTGTAGAGTCAGTCCTTTGAAGCCCATGGAGCTGCCACGACCTTCAGCAGCTGGAGATCTGCCCCTGTGCATTTCTAATCCATTTCTGGTGTCCCAGGGCAGGAAAGAAAATGCAATATTTGTTTGTGCCATCATTGTCTACTGGCAGTTTCCACAAGGAACTTTTCAATGGATACACCTGTTTTCTGCTGGGCTCAGTGTTGACTTAACAGAAAAGCTTTTTATCCCCCTGGAAGCCTTTTTGGGTATGAGTTATACTATTTAAACACCCTTTTCTTTGCTGCTAACATAAAAAAGCTGTGGGAGATGAAAATATTCAAAATGACACAGCAAAGCAGGGACAGGGAACTTGTTGGATGTAGAACTGAATTGTCCCCCCTGAGGAGAGCACTGGCAACATTTGGGACAAAAGCAGCAGCACAGGCTGTGGGGTGAGCAGAAGAACCACTTCCACAATTCAGAGGGCAGCAAGCAATGAATTTCTGGGTAAGGAGCCAGACAGCTCAGAAGCAAGCTGAATAGGGCTATAAAAATGATTGGATATCAGGAAAAAATTCTTCCCTGAGAGGAGTGTCCATCATTGGAACAGGCTGCCCAGGGCAGTGGTGGAGTCACCATCCCTGGAGGGATTTAAAAATCTGTAGGTCTGGGATGTGGCACCTGGGGACACAGTTTAGTGGTGGCCTTGGCAGTGCTTGGTGATCTTAGAGGTCTTTCCCAACCTGAATGATCCTGGGATTCTATGATAATTCCAGATTATTTCAGCTGTTGGTGAGGATGATGGTCCTAAAGTCAGGCCACCCTTTGGTGCTCTGGCACAGCCACATCCTCACAGGTTCCCTGGTTCCCTTTCACAATAGTAAATTTATCATTCCTTCTATGAAAGAATAAATGTTTTATTAATGTTCTACTCTCTAATCATAAGGAAGGAGTAGAGAGTCTTAATTAAGTCATTAGCAGCTGTTATGAGCCTATATTTTGTTCTGTAAACCTGAAAGAATAGATAGTATTAACACTATTAAAAACTTATAACTCCTTTCCGTCGTATTTTGTGCATGTTTTAAACTGTCCCAAGAAATTACATGAAGGACATTATGCAAAAAAAAAAAAAAAAGAGGGTGTGGGACTGATTTGATCTGCCACAGAAAGTGCCAAAGCACCAAATGTGCTGCTCCCCTTCCCAAAATTCCAGCCCCAACCTGAACGCTGTCAGCACCACCCTTGTCAGTCTGCAGAGCCTCAAACATTTTCCTCTGGTGCCACGGGGTATCTAACAGGGAATTTAACCATGGGGCAGCAGGGTGGCTTTTCTTAGCTGCCAGAGATTTGTGATCCTTCACAAATTCCTTACAGCAGTCCCTGGGCAGCCAGGACTCTGTAGTAGAAATGACTGACCAGCAACCCAAAGGAAATGTCATAGAAAGGGCAGAGGAGGAGCAAACCTCCAAGGAATTCGGATCTGCCACCAACATTAAGATTTCTCTCTGCTCACTGTATGACTGCCTGGAAAAGCTGGACACAATGGAGCACCCCTGTGAGTTAATCCTTTCACATCTAAAATCTCTCCATAGCTGCCCACTCAATCACAAGGCAAGAAAACAACAGGTACATTCAGCTTTAATGAAATAATCATCAGTTCTATGTACAGCTATAACAGAGGGAAAACCAGATACAAGAGAGGATGCAAACCCAACCCCTGACATGGAGCAAGTCACAGGGCAGGGCTGGACTGGGCATTTTTGCCATTCTCCTCCTTCTTTGAAGATGTTTCACCTAGAAGGCAGTACTGAAATAACACCAAATCCTCCCAAAACAGCTTAGCAGGCTGACAGAGGCCGACAGTCTGGCCCTGGGGGGTTATTTTGTGTTTATTTACTAAAGCTTGGACATCCTCCTCTGCAGCTGACTCCAGTGGGATCCCACAGCAATGCTGCAGCCCTCTGCTCAGCACCAGCCTGCCACAGTGCCCAGTGTAATCCTGTAAGCCTCTCCCAGCACCAGGATGGCTTTTCCTGGGGTGAGCTGTGGCAGCTCCAAAGGTATGTCTAAAAGTCCTTTAAAAGTCCCTTTTTCAAAACTATGGCAAAATACCTGGAAGGACCAGTATGAAGTACAAAGCCATTAAAATTGTACACACTGAATTATCAATAGCTGATAACTTAATAAACAAATTCACAGGAAGAAAAAGACACTTTTTTTTTCTTTACCACCCTCTGGGTTTTTTTAAGTTTTACTTGCACAGAGATGAGCTGTGGCTCTTGCTGCTGGCAGTCCTCTCATGACATCGAGGAGATGTTTTATCAAGGTTTAAAACATGTTTGTGCACCAGATAGGAGGGACAGGTACAGCCCTTGTATTTCAGCAGGAATCCAAAGCCTGTGCTGGGCAGGGAAATCTCAGTGCACGGTCAGTGAGCAATCACCAAGCACGGCTGCTATTTCTGTGCCAGCTGAGGAACACGCATGAGAATTCTCTCAGAGGAACACACTGCCTTGCCCACAGCTGGACACAAATCCCAGCCATGCAGATGCAATCCCATATTTTTAAAAGGCTCCTTTCTCCTGGGGTGCTGGTAGCTGGAGGTGATGCTCACACACACACACACACACACACGGTGCAAACCCCTCGGGCAGGGCAGTTCTGGGGTCTGACAGCAGTAGGATTGTCCAGGCATTTTCCAGCCATGTCCTCATGTCAGGATTTTTTTCCCCTGAGGACTTTGCTAAGATTGCTCCAGCATTTCCCTGCATGTTTCCGAGCGAGCTCCATGGCGTGCCAGAGCCTGGTGGCAGCAAGCCGGGCACAATGCGATTCCCAAGGGGTGCCTGGGCTGGATGGAGGCGGGAGGGCTTTGAGGGGGGAGCGGTGCGGGACAGGCTCCGCCAGCAGCCGGGGCAGCCAGCGGCACTCAGACCAAATCAAAGCAATCCCAGCCTGTGCCGGCAGCACATTGCAGCTTCCCCAACTCTGCTGACTGCTAACACGCATGCAGCTCACTGCTATTTATATCGCATGCCATGGATAAAAAAATATGCTACATCCGAGGAGAGCTTCAGCACGACACCGGGACGGGGATGGAGGAAGGCGAGGGGGGCGAGGGGCGGGCGGCGGCAGGGCTGCTCCTGCCCGGCCAAGCCCGTGATCCCGCAGGGAATTCTGCCCGTCGAGTTCAATGGTGCGAGAAAGGCTCCCCCAGCAGACGAGGCGCTGTCGCTTTCAGCCCGGGGTCAGCAGGGCGAGGCTGATGCTGAGCTGTAGCGTCTGGAGATGCACAGGCTGCTCCTGACAGGGGACAGGCCGAGGGAAGAAAGGAGAGAGCTCGCTGGAACCCCCGGCTTCGGGCCACAGCACTGACCGCGGCTCCTGGCACCCGGGCCTAGCGAGGGCCGGTCACAGCACAAAGCACAGCCCGGCATTGATGGTTTCTGGTTAATATTGCAGACACTTCGTTCTTCCTCATCTGCAATAAAGGCCCAGAGAGGCTCCAGCTGTTTCAGCGTGCCCCGAATCCACCCCAGCAGCAGGTCGGCCACTTGCTGCCTCTCAGGGCCTTTCTTCCAACACATGGTATGCACAGATCTACAGCGAGAACAGCAGGGAAACAGGGCATGGGGGACAGCAGAGATGTGGCCGTGACAGAAATGCGCCAATAAGTGGAAATACAGTCACTGTAACACCTTAATGTTTCCGCAGCTGTGGCCAGTGGCGCTGTCTGAAGGCCCAGGGGACACGCTGCCCTCAGCAGGGCCTGCCCACGTCCCGGGATCGTTTCACATGGACACAACTGAACGGGCATGCAGAATGAACCACACCGCGGCGCTGGGAGCTCTCCCAGTTCTCCACACACCCCGCAGGCCAAACGGAGCTTGAAATCACTCCCTCTGCCCTTTCTCTCTGGGCAAGGCTGCCATCACAGAAAGCTGTTGTGCTTATTCTGTTCCAGGGCCATTTCGTTGACCAGCTGCTCTATGGATGACTGAATGGCCGCCTTCACGAGGGAGGAGGCGGTTTCTATGAGGAGCAGCTCGTACTGCTCCCCAGTTCTGTGCCCCTGGTCACCCAGACCCTTCTCCTCTGCCTGGGGACCGCCACCAGCCTCAGGGCCCTCTTTTTGACCAACATCAGCGTTCCTGTTTGATTTTTTATTCCCTTTTTGCTTTTTTTGGTGCAAAACTGGGGAAGGCTCATAGGCCTGGTCAGAGTCGGTGTTGTCAGAGTCCTCAGCTTCGGTGATGGTGATGACGATGCTGACACCAGCGCCTGCATTTGCTTCTAGTATCTGACGGCTGGAGCATTCCTGCACACTTGCTGCATCCTCCACACTTGCTGCCTCTTGCACACTTGCTGCCTCCTGCACACCTGCTGCCCCCTCCACACTTGCTGCCTCCTGCACACTTGCTGCATCCTGCACACTTCCTGCATCCTGCACGCTTGCTGCCTCCTGCACGCTTGCTGCATCCTGCACACTTCCTGCATCCTGCACGCTTGCTGCCTCCTGCACGCTTGCTGCCTCCTGCACACTTACTGCATCCTCCACACTCGCTGCCTCCTGCACACCTGCTGCATCCTTCACGCTTGCTGCATCCTGGGCACTCGCTGTCTCCTGCACACTCACTGCATCCTGCACACTTGTGGCATGCTGCAGGCTTGCTGTATCTTGCATACTCTCTGCATCCTTCACACTCTCTGCCTCCTGCACACTCACTGCTTCCTCCACACTCACTGCTTCCTGCACACTTGCTGCCTCCTGTGCACTCTCTGCATCCTGCACACTTGTGACATCCTGCACACTTGCTGCCTCCTGCACACTCATGGCATCCTGCACACTCACTGCATCCTTCATGCCTGCTGCATCCTGCACATTTGCTGCGTCCTTTACCCTCTCTGCATCCTGCACACTTGCTGCATCCTGCACACTCGCTGCATCCTGCACTCTCATGGCATCCTGCACACTTGTGGCATCCTTCACTATCGCTGCATCCTGCACATTTGCTGCCTCCTGCACACTCACTGCTTCCTTCACACTTGTGGCATCCTGCACACTCACTGCATCCTGTGCACTCACTGCATCCTTCACACTTGTGGCATCCTGCACACTCACTGCATCCTGCACACTTGTGGCATCCTGCACACTCACTGCATCCTGCACACTCACTGCATCCTGCACACTTGTGGCATCCTGCATGCTCACTGCTTCCTGTGCACTCACTGCATCCTGCACACTCTCTGCCTCCTGCACACTCACTGCATCCTGCACACTCACTGCATCCTGCACATTTGCTGCCTCTTGCACACTCACTGCATCCTTCACACTCACTGCATCCTTCACACTCACTGCATCCTTCACACTGTCTGCCTCCTGCACACTTGTAGCATACTTTACACTGACTGCATGCTTCACACTTGCTGCCTCCTGCACACCTGTAGCATACTTTACACTCACTGCATCCTGCACATTTGCTGCTTCCTGCACACTCGCTGCATCACCTCTGGATGCCAACTCACTGAAATCAGTTACAGTCTCCTCAGCTTTGCACTCCTTAGAAAGATTTATGCTCTTTTCCAATTCATCCCTTTCAGGCACCTCTTTGGAGATATGAGGGATTTCCTGGCACTCTGTGATTTCAGGGGCATTGTCAGGCTGATCTTTAGAAGCAGGCACTTCGGGAGCAACTGCCCTGCCCTCCTCATCGTCTGTGGCTGAGGGCAGACTCCCTTCCTGCAGTTTGTCCTGGGCTGTTTCATCAAATGTCTCTGAACTGGTTATCTCCAGCTGAACAGTGCACTCCGAATGTTCTGCATCCCGTGTGGGCTCTGTCGGGGGCTCACTCTTCCCAACAGAGGTGTCACTTTCCTTTGCTGTATGGTTGTCCTCTTTCACTGAATCCTGGTCCTTTTTTATTGTATCCTGGTCCTTCTTCTTTGTATCCTGGTCCTCCTTCATTCTATGCTGCTCCTGCTTCGCTGTACCCTGCTCCTCCTGTGCAGAGACTGGCCTGAGGGACTCAGATTTGTCTGTCGGGGACAAATCCTCTGGCTCTTCAATAGCCTTATTCACAACACCCATCACTTCATTTGCTTGAGCACTGCCCTCTGACTCCTCCACTGCTTCTGAGGGGCTGGGTTTTTTCTTACCTCTGGAGAACCTCACACAGGGCATCTTCACCCCAGAGCTCGCCCGTTTCTTTGGGAGTTCTTGTGCACAGCTCTCCTCAGCGTCCACCTCCAGCTGCACTTGGGAATCAGAGGGCACCTTCTTCCGTGAGGAGGATTTCTGCCTTCTCTGAGGCCTGGCAAGGTTTTTGATGGCTGCCCAGGTTCCCCTGGAGGATCGTGGTGGATTGGAAGCCTTGGCCTCCCCTTGGTCAGCGCTGACACACTGGCTTTTCTCCTCTGAGGCTCCTTCGCACGCATCCTTCACAGTCAGTCCCTTCTTACAGGACTTCTTACGCTTCTTAAAACACAGCATGGAGGGTTTTTTAGCTTGTTCCTCTGGTGGGGAACATGTGGCCCCTGTGCTGGGAGTCTCTGCCTCTCTTGGGTTCTCCATTTCAATTTCCTTAGCTGCCTTCACCATATTCTCTTCTCCTTTGTTGGCGTTGTACTGCCGATTTTCCTGATCAATGCTTCAGACACAAGAAGTGCAGAGATGCTCAAAGTGCATTTTTTTCCCCAAACAGATTTCCAAATAGCGTTTGTTGCTTTGTAACGAGCCTATGTGGCAGTAAGAAGAAGTTCTGCTGGAGCTGTCGCATCCACTTTATAACTCCCACTTTGCCTTATTACTCACTTTATCACCTCTCCAAGGAATCCCGGGTAGATGTGCAGCTGAACAGGCTTCTCCTTGGCTTTGCTGGCCTCAGTCACTCTCATCTCTGGAGCAACCCACTTCCAGTTGTGCTTGGTCTAACTGTATAATGGCCAGGCTGACATACCTTTTTTTTTCCCCCAAAGGATGACAAATCAAGCCAAGAATTAACAATTTTTATTCACCCCACGGACCTGGAAGGAACTTGCACTTTGTGAGCTCTCTGCAATTCCACATTGCCCAGGGAGCTGAAGGAAGCACCAGTGGAAGCAGTGGCTGTTTTCTGCCCCCCAGTGACAAGGTCAGACGCTGCTTTGCCTTGGCTTTGGTTTCTGCTTCAGTTCCCCTCGCGTGTTACATGAAATTTGCTGCAAAGCATGACCAGGGCTTTCATCTTTTTATCTGGAACACAATAAATGAGTGATAAGACCCGTAGAGAAATTTTTAAAAAGTACTAAAAAGTTTTTTCTCCCTAAACATTTCATTGTGGGAGGCAGACCAGGGCTGGATGCACTATGGCACATTTTTTTCACTAATTAGCATCAATATCCAACGGCAAAATAAGGCCACAAGATGTCAACCCAGTGATGTTCCATCACAGAAAGTACTATTTTGCTATTTTATGTGGTAAAAAAGGACTTTTTTATATAACTGCCCATATTATGGCGAATACTTATTACACAGGCACACACATATTTCCTTCTCCTACGGTTTGCTAAATCCTTTCCCCACTGCTCCATATGCACTTATAGTTCCAGCTAGGGAAATTACACCCTGAGACAGCAGATATTTTTATCTTTAATGCACCATATGACAATATGCAAAAACAGAGAATACAAAAAGGAGGCTTGAGGAATACAAAAGCGAAATCACATGGTAAGAAGGGAGCTTATTTATACTACGTGCATGCCTCCCATGGCAACCTCAATTAACACCGTGTGTGCTCATCAAAGACATGATGTTGTAAGATGTGTGTCAACCTTAGCAAAAAAAAAAAAAAAAGAAAAAAAGAAAAAAAAAGGAAAAAAGCTCTGCCTCGAAATATCATCAGAACCTTTTGGATAGAAGGATGCAAAAAGGTGTTACCACGAACAGACCAACTTCTGCAGGACGGGCTCGGGGGCTCCGGGCAGGGCTTTACACGGCATTTCGTGCTCTGCTTTTCAGGAGTAGGGTGATTAAAAGGGGGATCCGGGGCACGCTTCCCCCGCAGCACATCTGGGTTTTTAAGAGATTATTATGATTTTAATGAGGCTATTTTAAGGGGAACCGAGCGGAGCTGTCAGAGCCGTGCGAGCGCGGCAGCCGCTGCCCCGAGCGCATCCCGCATCCCGGCCCCGCATCCCGGCCCCGCCGCCCCCGCGCCCGGCAAGTTTTGGGGGCGTTCGCGGGGGCGCAGCAGGACCCGCCCGGCAGCGCCGCTCCCCCGCCGGGTCCCCCCACGGCCGGACCCCTCCGAGGCCACCCAGGGCAGCCACCGCCGAGGCGGCCCCGGGACCGCGCTGCTGCCGCCGCCCCCGCGGGTCCCCCGAGGCGGAGCCGCCCCCGGCCCCGCGCCCCCCGCGCCCTCACCTGCAGCCCAGCCCGGCCCGGCCCGGCCCGGCCCGCTCCGCTCCGCGCGGCTGCGCTGCCGCCGCCGCCTCCGCCGCAGCCGCGCCCCCCGGGCCGGCGGGGAGGGCGCTCCCGCAGCCCCCCGCCCCCCGCCAGCCCCCGGCCCGCCCCCCGCCCCGGCCGGCACCTGCTCGCCGCCTCCTGCCGCCGGGGGTGAGCGCCGCTCCCCGCTCGCCGATCAGCAGCCCTTCCCCTGGCGGGGCAGGATCCCTCGCCCGCTGGCACAGGAACCTTCCGTCCCCTCCCAGGCTGTGCACGGCAGCTGCAGACCCGAAAACCACCAGCTTGAGCTCGGGGTGAAGATCCTCCCGGCAGTCGAGCTGCGGTTTGTAGTTCGGGTCCCAGCGGCAAGGGAGCCCGGAGCACACCCCGCGGGGAGGAGGGACCGCTGGGGGTGTCCTGGCTTGGTGCGAAAGGTTCCTGGCTTGCTCTTGGCAGCTGTTTTTGGTGTCCCACCTAAAACCCTCACAGCCTTCAGCACTCACTGTTGGAGTGCTGCAAGAGCTACACCTTTGGAGGTGGAGATAAGGACAGCCAGCTCTTGGCTTCAAACTAATCCATGCCCAAAACACCAGAGAAAGTGCCTCTGTTATCGGAGCCTTTCTTCTCTCCAAAGCAGCTGAGATCTGACTTAAAAAAATCACATCTCCAGCTGTGATGATTGATGGGAGAGCTTCAGAAAAAGAACTTCCCAGTGCAGCTGATGAACTACAGGGAACTGCAGTTGAGATGCCCGAACGTCCCCATTCATCTCCACGGGGAGCTGACGCCCACAAAGGCTTTACAGACATTAACTGCTTCACAGCGTGTTTGCACACGAGAAACTGAGCAAAGCAGCACTCTGAACTTGCAAGTGGCTTCCAGTGTAGGCCAGGCTTAGAAAAACACACATGGCCTCCCCCCTCCTCAGCTTCTTCATGGGAAAAAAGGTACAAAATGGATTAGTTGGGCTGAAATGCCAGCCAGGAGGGCTGAAAAAGTGCATTGAGCATCACAAGGAATTGCCTTTTTAAAAGCTCCCCTCTGAGATGTGTTTGCTCGCATTCACTCAGGATAATAAATTTCATTTGGAAACAGCTTCTCTCCTGAGGTGGGTGGTGGGTTCTAATTATGATCCACTGCTTTATTAAAGCCAAGTGAGGCCCTTCAATGCAAGGAGCTTTTCCCTCGTTGCAGTTGGAGGCAGGAGGGAGGGAAGCAGACAATGAGGATGGTAATGTGAGGCTGGGGAATGTGGTGGTGTGATGGAGGCAAGCTGCCATGAATCCCCTCGGGAGCACTTTGCATGGAATCCAATTATTGCTGACTCTCCAGGGACAGATGGCAGCACCAGTGGCTGTGGTGAAAGGGAAATAAAAGCCAGGCAAAGGATCAGGTCAGAAATTGGGTAAGCTGGATGGGAGATCCTGGCCCAGCTGGATCCTGTTTTCTTTCTGTGGTGCTGGTGACACACAACAAGCCAACCAAGCAACACCTTCTCCTCTTTCTTGTCCCCAGCACTACTAAAACCACAAGTCTGTGTTATTTCTTACAGGATGTGATGCAGTGCTCTCACAACAGCACAGCACAGGGACGGATGGCTGTTACACCAGCTAAGGACCAGGCTCACAAATAGCCCACAGAGAAGAAATTTGTACATAATTAGTTTTTTCTCCAAGCAACAGGAGGAGAAGAGAACCAGTGAGTACTTTGCTAGGAGAAATTAAGTGTCCTCTGTGTCCTATTTGATAGGACAAGACCTAGCTGGCACCCTTAGCTGCAAAGGAGAGTATTAAAAAAATAACCTATTTATGTATCCATCCTGCAGGAGAAAAGAGAGGTTGGAAGTGCAGGTTAGAAAACATTGCCCTGGAGATGCTTGGGGCTGTTTTTTTGGCCCTTGTGCTTTGTTGTTGTGCAGCAAACCCTTCAAAGCTCGTGCCTGATCCGGCGCTGTGCCTCACTGCAGGAGGGGGACTAGCAACCTCTTGAACCATCTCTCTCAAGCACATGGCTATGATCTCATGCTAAACTAAAAGGAGGCTAATCTTAGCATAAATTTGCACTTATCCCATCTTTCATAAGCATAAAATGAAGGTGGAACACAGAGCACTTGCAGGAAAGCAGTGTAGCAGGGAAGATTAAATGTAGGAACTGACAGCAGCCTTGGCAGCATCCGCTCTGGCACCCTGCTCCAGGGAAGGCTGGGCCCAGGGGCTGCAGGGACCCCCAGCCAGGCTGGGCAGCACTGGGGGAGCCCCTCCTGACCCCCTGCAAGGGGACTGAGCCTGCCAGGAAACCCTTGGCTGGGTTACATCAAAAAGAACATTTCAGGAGGCTGTGAATGCATCTCAAATGCTCTCATAACCATTTTAAGTGTTCTATCTGCTCGTGTCACAACCAGGTAACTTTTATGTAATTATTCTCCCCTCCTGAATAATTGAAGAGATAGAGATCTTTCTCTCCATATCCATATATATATATATATTCACACACAGTATCTGTGTACTACAAATGCTCTCCTACGTTGGTGCACACCTACATCCTGATCCTCCCAGTTCTCACCAAATTTGGAATGTTTTTAGATTCAGTTCTGATACAAGCAGATGGGCCTCATGACTGTTAATTCAGATATTCTGCAGTCAGATGCAAGTATCTCACATTCACAGAATAATTCAGGTAGTTTATTTCCTACAGACAACATACATCATCCAGGGAAGGAAACCAGATTAAAACACACACACCCTGGTGCATTGCAGGCTACTCGTTACTGCAATAATCACTCCTACTTGTCAATACAATGATTGCTGTTGTGTGTAGTTAATCACAGAAATAAATCCTAATTCAGTAATCTCAGTGCATACATTAAAACCCAAAAAGCACTTGAAGTATTTGCCAGTTTATTTGTATTAGTTAAAAAATTGGCAGCAATGCTATCTTCATGTTACAAAATGATTTTTGGTCTGCTGACAAAACCTGCTACAAATCACTTGATCACTATTCACATTCTCTATTGATCAGAAAGGTACCATGTGAAACAAGGCCTGTCAATGGTGTAACTGCACTTATGGTTGAGCAGGAAATGGTTCCAAGGACACATTTGGCAGAAGCCACAGATATGGGCCAGTCCTTGCAGATCTGCTCTGCAGAGCTTTCATTCCATGGACAGAAGAACACAGCAGTCACAGCTGGGCTTGGGCTGTCTCTGATGTGGCTCAGGTGCCTGCAGGAGAAACTCCCAGCAGAAGGCAGGGGAAGCAGTGGTGGAGAGCTCTGGGGAGCAGAGGGGACCCTCCCTGCTCCTCTGAAGTGACACTGGAGGGAGCAGTGCCAGGGCACAGCAGCTCTCCCGTGGTGAGAACAGGAACAGAGGATTCCACAAAGGGGAAACTGCAGCCAGCAAGACTTCTAAAGATAATACATGTGCAAAACCCTGATGGTTAAGACAATGAAAGTCCCAAGACTGTTTCAAACAGCTCCAGCTTTAGGATTTTTAATTATTAAAATCATGTCACTGAATCAAAAGAGGTCATTAAAGCCAAGCTTCTGTATTCTGCTTCAGCTACAATCATGAAGAGGGAGGTCTGCAGAGGAAGTTTGTTTTATATGCTCAGTGTCAACTATCTTGGAAGGCAGTAGTTTAAAAATTATTACAGATTAAAAGTTACTGGTTGATTCTTCAGTACTCATCCTTACAGTCACTCCTTGCACTATATTCTCACTGATGTCTTATTCTGACTTTAAAAAAGATCAGAGCACAGTTCCATTTACATGACTCATCAGGTGTTCTTCTGGGAGCTAAAAACAAAAATAAAATTTAATTACTATTATATAGTACTGCAGGCAACTTTCAGGCTGAATTATAATGAAATGTCATTTGGAAACATATGGCATAATATGGGATTGGCTTAACTCCATTATCTCAAGATCTTTGCAAAAATAAAGCCCAAATATTGAAGGCTTTCAAGAAGGCACCAACCTTAATCATTCCTTTCAGAAGAGCCCATTTACTTCTCCTGACACTGGGTCCAGGTCTATATCATAGAAGCAGGGTCTTGTAGGCAGTCCTGGCATAGTGCTCATCTGGACAACAAGAGACACAATGTTAAATGGCAGTGGCACCATTTTTGGGCACAAGATCCAACACTGAAGACTTGGATGGCAACAGCTCCTGAACACCAACAAACCAGAGAATGATGGCCATGGACTGTTTTGAAGCACCCCATGAGAACCAGAAACTCCTGGCTCAGTACACAGATATGAAGATTTGCTTTTTAAGTTTGATTTCTGCAGCTGCAAGTAACTGAGCCCAAGATTTGGCAAAATACTTGGCTATGCAGCTGACCAGTTCACTGTTCATGGACTTTGCTGTGATGAGACAATTACTTCTGAAGTTTTCTGAGTACTAAAGTGAAGATACAAATTTTAATACAACTTTGCCAGCTGTAAAGTCTCAGTTGATTACAATTCCTTGAGAATCTAGAACTAGACATGTTAAATAATTAGGAATAATTACTGAACACACTCAGAAGGGCTGTTCAGAGGCAGAACTGAGGCTCACAAAGCAGCTGCCAGCACTACTGCCTCAGGCCAGTCCTCTGCACTTGTCCCACTGCTGAGTACCCAGTTTCAGGGATGCAGAACAAGGCTGGCAGGAACTACACCTGGCCTGATTTATCCTTGCAGCTGACAGCACTTCCCCTCCCCTGGGGCAGCATTTAGCCCAGCAGCACACACAGGCTGAACATGGACTCTGCAAGGGTCCCTGACCATGTTTGGTACTTTGTGTCAGTGGCCATTAAATGCTTTTATAAAAAGGGAGAACTTGAAAGGTCTCATTTTCTATCTGCATCACCCTGCCTGAGCTTTCACAGTCAGTATTGTTATGCCTGTCTCCATTAGATTAAACATCTCTTTGGCAACCTGGTATTTTCTCCCTGAGCAAGTATTTTGCACGCTAATCAAATTACCTCCCCATCTTCCTTTTGATAATAAGCTAAGCATCAAGAAGGCAAAGCTCTGGTGGTGAGGTCTTTCCTGCAGTTCTCAAAACTGGTCAGGGAGCTTTTGGAGTCCCAGCCCATTTTCCTCAGCCATTTACAAGTGCTAACACCAATCCCACATGTACTGTACCACTGCAAGTCTTTCAAGGGTTATGCAGAGGTAGCAATCACTAAAGTCCCCTCTTTGTAATGAATTCTGGGGCTGCATTAGCTTTTTATGAGAGCCACTGCCTTCCCAGACAGAGAAGAGGAGGGTCACAGAGAGGACCCCCATTCCTTGTCCTTGTGCTCAGCTGTATAAATATTTTGCTCTCAAGAACATCTCACAGAAGTATTAAGAGGTTCAAAGTGCCCAGAGGGGTTTTCCTGTTCTCAGCTCTCAGTCTCTGGCCACAAAGAGCAAGAAACTTCCTATTTATTTATGTACCACTGGAGACTCATGGAGCTTTGCAGATCTCCACCTCCAGATTCAGAGGGCCACAGCAGGAGCTCAGAGAGTGACATTCAATAGAGTAGGAGGTGCTGAAAATGTGCCTGACTTTGTCATTTCTTGCACTTTCTATTTTGAAATGAACAGTCAATTTTTCCTCCTTTCCTATCCAGAGGGCAGCCCACAGTGGCTACTCTGCTATCTATTACTTTAAGGCAGTCTGCTCAAACCCCAAATTTCCATGCAGTGCAGAATAATTTCCATCCAGGCTACTAATTTTCTGTACAAGTGTCTACAATGCTTCA